AGCTATCTTTGATTGCACATGCTTTCTATTCTCTGTGAAAGACATCTTTATCAGTCCAACATTTCAGTCCAACATCTCCTAGGAACCCGGGCCTTAGATGTTCTAGTTGTTGTTGTTGTTTTTTCCATTCAATCGTGTCTGACTCTTGGCGATGTTATAGACAAGTGCTCTCCATGCTACCTTGTCAAACAGTTTCAGTTGTTGGATGCACATCTTTGTATCAGTTTTGATGTTATCAGGCCAGCATGTTGTTAGCCTTTCTTGTTCTTCCACTAACCAAATGTTCCAATAGACTAGCAGTTAAAATGATCATGAAGTTAGAAATATTATGGCATTATGTGGCATTATTCTACATTAGAACAGCCTTCTCCAATTAGATCAGCAGCAGCTTTAATTTCCATAATTGCAGAAAGTATGGTCACATTGACAATTAATTGCAATCTCCTAACACATCTGGAGCATGCTAGATTGGGGGATACTGTATCAAGATGTTAATTTGCAGTTAGATTGTATTGGTTGAATTCTTGACATACATGACTTTCATTTGTCAGTCCCAGCTGACTTCTGTGGTACAACTAAGAAGCCAATGTAATACCACATCCCTAGTTATGATGATTCTTGGGCTGTGTGTGCTTTGTTGTGCTCAGCATGTTACAAGTTGAGAAGATTATTCCTTGAGATAGTAATCCTTTTGGAGTGCTGAAGAAACCACATTGGCTTCTCCTGAAAGAGACTAGCTTCTTCTAATAAATTCATGAACATGTGCAGACTGTAATAGATCCTACTTGTTCAGCATTCATAGGCTTTCAAGCCGTGATAATGATGTAGGGAAGAGTCATAAGGTGAGATTCTCCTGGGTACTGGTGGTGCTAGGGAAATATGTTCTCCCATTTCTCAAGTGTTGCACAAATAATGGTGTGAAGATCTCACAATAGTATATATACAGTCCACCCACAAAGCAATCATGCTATAAGCTTATTTTTAAGAAACATTACTTATATTTCAAAATAACTTCTGAAAAAAAAAACTTCCTTGAAGAATACTAGAAGTATCATGCTGCTTTGCAATCTAAAATATTGACTATGCGTGGAAAAACAAACAAAAAGCTCTGTTAAAGATCATAGTTGCTATGGGTATTCTATTATCTTGTGTATGGAAGACCTGAGAGTTAAGAGAAACAAGACACTTAAAATAATTACCTCTGCTGATCAGCTGTTGCAAAATAAGCTCTTCACAGCTCTGAAAAAAATGAGTATTTGGTGCACTTCCAGAATCTTTGTGTTAATTTTTATTGGAGAGGCTGAAACTGGTCATCATTAATGAAAAGAGAATGAAAAATCCATCTGGGCATCTGCAGTATAGCAGGAAAAAAGTCTGCCCTACATCATATTTTTATAAATAAAGTTTTAACGGCAATGTGATTAAAGATTCAATTTTCCTACTATTTTGCAAAACACAGCTTCTGTCCAAGTCCATCCACATTATATTAGAAAGGAATTTACATAGTAAATGAGTAGTATCCCAGTTATATTCCTTCTTCAGAACTAACTTTTGCTTTAAAAAAGTGGTTTTATTTTCCATCATGTATAGACAAGGCCGATAGAAAATCCATTTTTAAATAGTTGGAAAGAGAGTGATATAATTTCAAGGAAGATCCAAGGATTATATACTTTTGAGAAATATTGAAGTTTGTTTACCATTTTATTACCCAGAATGATTTTTTTTTCATTTAATTATTTTTGTTTCTTTGGAATATTTAAAGAAAAAGTAATGAAAATGGAGTGATGTTTTTATAAGATGTATGTGATAACCCCCGCCCCCCCTTTCATTGGGGGGGGGCAGGGTTTGTGGCTTTATCTGGGAAGGGAGTGTTTGTTGAATTTTGCAGGTTATGATTGCTCTAAAGATCTTTGATAAAAATTTATCAAAGAATTTTTTAAAAAAACTAGTTTTAAGTATTATGCATGTGCTGAATTTAATTCCTATCAGTTTATGGAAGGTTAGGGTGGATGTTGTCCCAAGAAAATTTACTTCCAAGATTACATTAACGAATTCCACATTCCAGGATGCTTCATTTAGTACTTCTATTTAGAAAGCCTATGGTGGGACCACCCCCTAGTGGTCGGACTAGATATTTTATTTTCTCACTAAAGTTGCTCATCTCATCTTTCCCTCCCCTGCTGTAAGCAGAAAATGTCACTGTATACACCCTGCAGCCGACTTTGGGGTTTTATTTATGTCAAGGAAAAACCCCAATCGGAAGAACCAATAAACTGTCGCTCTTGTAAAACAGAAATGTATTGGTCCAAATTGCTATTAAAGCTAGATTACTATTTCAATACCAAAGAAGAGTAACCACCCCCATTAAAGTATCTTTGGTAAACAATCGAAGATGCTACATAAACAGCACATAAACGGGCAGTAAAACTGATCAGAGCATTTCTGCATTCAACCTAGAAACATATCGTCCACACAGTCATCAAACGAAGGAGGTAGCCTGGCCTGTCGCCCCTCCCCTCTTCGCACAGTCCCTGAAAGAAAACTAGAAAAGTCCCCTTGCTGCATCTGCCACCAGCAGATGAATCGGCCCAGCATTTTCAATGGAAGCGGAGGAATTCCTGGCTGCTCGACCTGATCCCCGCCTGTCTGGAAAAGCGCAGCTGAACCGCATGGCGACAGTTTCCTTCGCCTGGATTTTATTTTTATTCGCCTCCATTCTCCGCGGGCATTCTTCCCGTCCGGAGATCTCGCAGTGTTTGGTCTCTATATTTTCTTGGCGCATCCCTTTCGCTGCCGTCCGAAATCGACCATCTCGAGTTCCGTATGACTTTTCCGCACGCTGACCGGTTATTTCCGTGTGCTGTCAACTGGTGTCTGCCACGCGCGGAATAGGCGGCGTGCAGCCTGCAGAATGAGTTCAAGGTTTAAAATAATCCCGATACCTTAAAAAGAGAGGCGGCAACGTGCAACGAAGCAAGTCCTCTTTCAAAAAGAATGGCGGGAGGGGGGGGGTAATTCGACAGGGAACGCCAGCTGCAGAGATCATGCCTACGCGAAAGTCCAGCCGTGTGGATGGGCGATGGCTGATTCGGGGGGGGGGGGAATAAGGGAGAATGCAGAGAGAGAGGGAGAGGGAGTCCTCGAAATAAGATCCCATTCTCCACCCCTTTCTCCAAATTGGGGTTCTTGCAAGGCTCCGGTTCGCTGGCAGCAAAATCGCTGTCCCTCTTTCGCCTCCTGTCGCCTTTAAGCTGCGTGAAACTCGCTCGCTTTTATTACTCTTCTCTGATTGCACAGGCGCGTGGTCATGAGGTTGTCTATGTTGCACAATCCTTTCCTTTTCCCCATCTCATTTTGTTTCATTTTAATTTCGGCGCGGGGGGGGGGGCGGCGGCGACGGCGGCATTATTCATCTCGCTTTCCAATGCCTCCGCAGCCGCCCTGCCGCCTCCTTTGCCGCCATCCCCTTTCCAATGCGAGCACGCACTTGGGCCGCGCTTCCGTCCTACATCTTTCGGGGGGGCGGACGAGAAGGGGGGGGCTGCAAATGGCTCCAGGAGCCGGAGCGGGTTGCTTGCGAAAGTGGAAGCGAGATGAGAGGGGGAGTAGGGGGAGGGAGCAAAACTGAGGCTGGCTGACATCGGCTTGAGCCAAGAAGGTATCGGTGCTGGGCCAACAAAACTGGGGGTGGGGCACGGGGCGATGGTGGGGAAGAAGACGGGAAGGAAGTCGGAGTACTCCGAGCAACATTTAACTTGGCAATTGAGGGAGACGGCCAGATCGCGCACTGTACTACGTTTTCGGCCGAGGATGGGTCGATCTTAAAGCGGCTCCGTACCGGAGTCAGCCGGTTCCAGTAGAAATAAACAGCCTTAAGTTGTTGGTGGTTCTGCAAGCATGGATGGGGAGCCGAGCTGACCGAGCGTCTGCCTGCTTCTCCCCTCAAGCCCTCCGGTTGCTTTCATTCCAGTACACCGAAAGGTGGAGGGAGGGGGAAGCTTTTTTTTTAAAGCTCCTTTTCATTCTCCCCGTTCTTCATCCCTTCTCCGCTTCGAGCCCGGCCGGGGCCGCAACCTTCACAATTGCGCGCCGAATAACTTGAGGCAGGTGCGCGCCCCGCGGGAAATCCTCGGGGACAGGGTGGCGCTGCGACGGGCGGAGGCTCGCGTCGCCTCACGGCGCACAAAGTCAAGGAGAGGCTCAAGTTTTATTTTTTGGCTCCGGGCCCCGGGTGGGCGGGAAGGGTGTGGAGAGGAGCCCACAAACCGAGGGAGGCCCCCGTCCCTGGCCGGCGCCACGGTTCCGCGTGTCCGAGCGCGAGGGAGTGTGCAGCGAGCGCCCAAAAAGCCAGAAGCGAGGGGAGGGGATCGGGGAAGAGAGACGGCGGGCGCATGCGCTTGGGCCGACCGTGCCATATTGGAATGAGGCGGTGAGCGGAGCGCCGGCGAGCCTTGCCCGAGCCCCGGCAGCGGCGCAGGGCTGGAAAAACTCCCCCTAGGTAAGACGGGCGCGGGATGCCTGCCTTCGTTGGAAGGGCGGCGTCCGGTGTAGATGCTGGGTCCGTTTTGCCGCCTGCCCGACCGCCCGGAAGGTTTTTTTTCGGCTCCTGAAGTTTGATGCGGGAGACGGCGAGGGAGGGCGGTAGCAGCGGTGGCGGCGGCAGAAGCAGCCGCCGCCGCCGCCAGGCAAGCAGGCGGAGCGCAGCGCCAGGGGAGGGGGAGCGAGCGAGCGGCGAGCGCTTTCCTCCGATGCCCGGGTTGGAACCGCCGTCGCCGCCGCCACCACCGCCGCGCCGCTGCAGTAGGAGCGCCAACTCTGCGCGCGGGCGGCGCTGGTGCCGCTCTCCGCGCAAGTTCCCGCGGCCCGGGGGAGGTGCGCGTTGCGTCGGGGAAGGTCTGGGCCCGGAAGGGGGCGCCAGGTTGACTTTTTCCCCTCTCGCCTTTGCCGCCCCGATGCGGTCGCGAAAAGTTGCGAGGCGGTGGTCGCGGAAGCTCCCTCTCCCTCTGCCCCTTTGCCGACGGCGGGGTTGCTCCGAGCAAGAAGGGAATCTCTGCCTGGCCTCCCCCGGTTCCCTCGGAGTCTGAATGGGTCGCCGGCCGAGCACTTGGGCGACACTTCTCTCTCTCTCCCCCACACACACATTCAAGTAGTCTACGGGTCGGGAGAATCTCATTTCAAGGTAACTTCTCATGAACTTTTTTTTTGTGGCCATGTGTATTCTTGGAGGGCCGGTCGGTTGAGAAGTCGTCCCCGTCCAGTCCATCCCCCCTCTTTTTTTTTAAAAAAAAAAACTTAAATATGGCTTCATTTGAAGAGAAGAGGCCTCATGAACTATTTGGCTGTTTTTCTGTCTTCTCGCTACACCCCCCCCCCCATGGCGGCGTATGTGATCTTTAAACTCTCATTACGGGACTGTTGTCGGGACTGCTGCTTGCTCTAAAAAGCGCTACGTTTGTTCAGTGAGATGTTAATCCGACTACAGTTTCACATGTCAACCTGGTGGTGCACACCTTATGCGTACTTTGGGGACTAAAATCTCAAGGATGGTCGGATCCGCAGCTGCTGCGCACGTTGTTTTCATTAAGTACAGTGCCACAAACTTACACTAAGCCCAGCCCCAGTTTCCATCTTACAAGTGCTGCTAATGTCTTCTCCTGCGGGATTCTGCTTTCAGTTGAAAAACAACTGCTCGATATGCTCTGCTGTTTTTCTTTCTATTTCCTGCCTCACCTCTTGTCACTCTTTCTTGTACTTGAAAATAAAGAGACGTTGCTGACTTGGATATAAATCTGCCCATGAAGCTCAGGATGCACCTGAATCCCAAGTCCTGAATTTGGGATATAAATTCTAGTTGGCTGTAGAGGGAACTAAAACTTTAGCACAACACATTTGATTCATATTGCAAAAATAATCTTACAATGGAAGGGGGAGTTATATAGTTATATAAGAAAAACAGGCACCCTGTAATCAGGCAATCTGTGACTCAAGAATGAAGTGGAAAGAACCCTCCTTTGCATATACAATTTCAGAAGCACTGAATATGGACATATTTCTATATCTCAAGTCAAAGTACAAACTACTGCAAAGGAAGTTGACATTTCTTAATGAATAGAAGGAAAAGACCAGGGGAGTTTTAAAAAAAACACATTTGTTTTGCAGGAGTAAATGCTAGACAGTTTATCAGTCCTTAAAAAGCAATACCATTACTAGGCCTCTTAATCCATACAGTGAGACAGACTGATGTCTATTTATTAGACCTGGGTGGATTTTAGTAGAATGATTATATCTGCTTCTGAGAAATTTGTTGACATTGTAGCAGTCTGAGCAATGATAATTCTGCCTCTACTTTATCCACTTGAAAAATAGATTAGAGAAATTTTCACTCATAAATGTGTGGTTCTTTAGTCTCTTTTTGCTGTTACTTGTTTCATAAGATTGGTTGCTGTCAGTAGTTTGGGACATTACCATAGCAAATATTTCAGTAATATACAATATACTGTGCAGGATTCTAACATTCAAGTACAGTAAAAAAAATAGATATTTTTGACCATTAAACTGAAGTAAAGCTGTACATCATTTGTGTGAACTTATTCAAAGATTATATATGGGTAGGGGGGTGATTGAATAATGGCAGTTTTCTAATTTCACTGACAACTTAATTTCATCTACTAGAAACTACTTTTTTGGCTCTGGATGTTGTTTCCAAATGAGAAATGATATTGATTGTGGGAGTAACTATTGGTATGTGTAATGTTTTTTTTAAAGGGAAAGAAATTATTTAATATTTCAAGCATCATGTGATTGTAGGCCACTGATGTAACTCAGAGTTGTAGCTTAGCAGTAAATAGCTAAAATAGTATATAATATGAAATTAGTTTCATATTACGTGTTGTAAACATAAATCAACTCCATTCACTCTGCAGTAATGGATGCCTTTATTTTGCTATATAATGAAGTAAATGATATACGTGTAGACCTTAAAAGGGATCCCAGTTTGGTGTAATGATTAAGAAACCAGGCTAGAAGCCAGGAGATGATGAGTTTTAGTCCTGCCTTAGGCCCAAAACCAGCTGGGTCATCTTGGGCCAGTCACTCTCTTTCACCCCCTAGGAAGAAGGCAATGATAAATCACTTCCCAAAATCTTGTCAAGAAAACTTCAGGGATTTATCCAGATAGATGTCAAGATTTATTTGAAGGTGTTTATTCATACACAAAGATCTTAAAATCTAAATCACTTAACTTCAAGGTTCAGGTATACGCATTAGAATAGACACCTGTAATCCTTAATTTGTTATATATGAAAAAAGTATTTTGAACATAAATGATTCTTAGATACTATGCTTAGATTAGGCTATAATAAATAAATATAACAAGAAAAGTTTAATTTGGTTCTTAAAACCCTTGGATAGTGTTGAGTCTAATTGCAGTTTATATTTTCAAGACTTGACTGCGTAGGAGGCTGTAATCAGACTAGGATGACAGCAGGATTGTCTTAAATTATATGATTATGGTGAAATCCCATTCAAGTAAAATGCAACTCTGCTGGCATTGCTTCAGGCTTCGTTCTTGACATGCAAGTATTTATGCACGCTTTTGTGTCAATTCTCGCATAATAGGTGAGCTACTTAATTTAAATACTTTATTTGTAAATTTATAAAAACTTGAAAAACATTTTAAATTTGTATATACTATATATGTTGAATTGTTCATAAAATAAAATGTAGGGCTTCCTTTGCTTTTAGCGAAGGATTATGTTGTGCAATAAAGGCTGCTGTTTCTGCATGTTTGGATATAAATAAATCTGCACATCTAGACCTGAAGAATTGAGACAAAAGTGTCCTTAGGTAAATTTGTTTTATGTTAATTCACTACTATGCAATTTATTATTTTCATCAAATAACTTTCTTTTATAAGAAAAAAAAAAGATACTTATTATGCAGTTTGTGCCAGCATAGTCAATTGTACCAAAGGCCTGGAAACAAGACAAGATTTCCTTCTGCCAACACTACTTGAACATTTTCCCACTAAGTCCTTTCTTTCCTCATGCCCTTGCCATTATATTGTATGATTGTTCCAGATGTGGATCCTGCTTCCTATTTTTGTACCTGTAATAGCTACTACTATTACTGTGAGGTCACCACAATAATAATAAAAAAAGACTTTTCGTATAGTAGAATCAGAGTTGGACATGTTGCAGTAAAACTGGTAAAGGATAGTCAGCCCAAGGATGAGCATTTAACCTGGCCAAATCTATATAGTAAACAATGCTAATAACATTTGTAGTGCTAAGATGCATGCTATCTCTTTATCATGAAAACTATGTGCAGTAGAAAGCAAACTATAGAAAAGATGGAGAAAATGCTTTCCCTGCACCAGAATATGAGAAAAAGAAGAAAATATGTTTGAATAACATAGTACTCAAGATTAAGGCTCTAAAAATTTATGAGCACATTTGTTGACATTGCCCTACAACCCATTTTCCCACTCATTCAATATCTCATTTAATTCAAGGTTTTCAAGGTTTATAAACTTAACATAAAATGAAAGAAGACTTTACTAAATATTTGGAACTTAACTTTCTGACCTGCGGGAAAATTTATACCAAGTATAGCATGTGCAGATTTGAACACCTCTTATTCCAGTATAGATATATTTATAGTTATTAAATTAAGATAATAGGAAACGAAAGAAATAATACAGTTATTATATCAAAAGATGAGCACATGTTTCTAAGATCATATTTCCACATCTATAAAAATGGTTCAGTTTCTCAACAATACATCATTGTTGTGTTTTTCCAATCTTGGTCAATGTTTATATTTTACTTTGTATCTTTTGTAAATCAAGCCAGGTGGTGAGCTTGATAACCTTCTCAATATTTAGCAACAGAATTATGCTCAGTGAGATTCAATGAGGTTTATGATGCATAGATGTGTAACTGAGATGGTAGCTCGTGTCAATTCTACATTTATTTTGGCGGTTTATTATTTTGCCCATACGCCATGCAGCATAACTCGGGATGATGTACAATTATTAATTAAAGTGTACTAAAATCAAAAGTTGGAGAATATAGAATTCATTCTACTTTTTTTTTCTTTGTATATTGGATGACTTTATTTTTTATATGCCAGAATTACTCCAGGAATAAGAGAGATTCTAAAAGTGACAATAGATCCTTGGGGAGGTGGAAACATATTATAGTAATGAGTTAAATGGGCAAGGGCACCTAATTTTTTAATTTCTTTTTAACTTAGTAAGTTTTTTCTATTTGTAATTCATTGCTATTGTATTATTGTATTATTTTTGTATGGAGGGTAATCTCTTAGCAAACAATTTCACAAATAGCTATATGAGAGAAATAGTAGGTGTTAAAAAGAAATATGTGCCAAAACTGTTGCCTGTGACATGTTGATATTCATATCACATTTTCATAACTTTTTAAAGTTTCATGTAGTAAACTTTAATAATTGTTCCTTGTTTCATAGATGCTGGGCTGTTGCCAAGAATTATGTATCACTTATTTGGCAAGTCTGGGCATAAAAACCAAATTTCTGATTATAAGCTTGAAATTAACCTTTTTAAAGCACAGGACTTTCCCTTTAAAGTGACAGATGCAGCTATCATTTTTATTTACAAATATTGTTTTGCTTATGTAGCTTAGTTGGTTTTTTTTGTAGGATTGTGAAAAGAGAGATAAAAAAAAATCCAAGAACTATTTTTGCTGAAAGCTTTTGTGCGCTATGACCTTGTTAGGAATAGATTTAATAGCTCTCTATCTAGTTTGTATAAGAAACTGTTATCCTAGTTCTTGAATACAGTCAATCTCAATATAGTATTTATAAGAGTACAAAAAATGCATGTGTTTTTCTGTTGGAAGCAAAAGTATTAAAGATAGTATAGAAGTCTACAGGGTCTTTGAATTATGTTTGCTACAGCATGTTTTTATTCCCCGAGGTCTTGAAGGTAATTATACTGACTTAGAGTCCCCTCTCAATGTTTCTGGTTTTGCCCTAGTTCTTTTTCTTCCTTTGCTTGCCTTCAGAGGACTTTGTGCCTGTCTATGGAAGGGCAAATCCAGAGAGCGTTAGTGAAAGTGGTTGTAGACAATAATTGCCCATGTTGATTTGTTGAATGGCATGTAGGTAACATTCAGCAAGAATCTCTAGCTTAAAGGCTTC